GGCATTTACATCAGCTGGATGTAAATAATGCTTTCTTTCATGGTGACTTGGAGGAAGAGGTGTATATGACTATGTCACCCGGGTTTAAGTTTGCCAATGGTCAGAATTTAGTGTGCAAGCCAAATAAAGCCTTGTATGGGTTAAAGCAGTCGCCACGTACTTGGTTTGAGAGATTCAGCACTGATCTGAAAAGAGTAGGATAAGCACAGTCAGGCAAATCATACTCTCTTCATTAAGAAGCACTAGGGCTGCACCACTGCCCTTATTGTATATGTTGATGATATTGTTATTACTGGAAATGATCCAAAAGAGATTCATCGAATGAAGTCATTCTTGGGGACAAAGTTCGAGGTTAAAGACCTTGGATCATTGAGATACTTTCTTGGCATCCTGGTGTGCAGATCAAAGAAAGCGGTGTTCATTTCTCAATAGAAGTATGTGTTAGATTTGTTGGTTGAAATAGGTAGGCTTGGAGCAAGACCTATTAATATTCCCATTGAGCAGAACCATAAGCCGAATGATGTAGATGGAGACCCATTAGATGATGTGGCAAGATTTCAGCGATTGGTTGGGAGACTGATTTACCTATCTCTCACGCGCCCAAATATTGCCTGCGCTGTTAGTGTGATTAGTCAGTTTATGAACGCTCCACGTACAACTCACCTTGAGGCAATTCATCATGTTCTTCACTACCTCAAGGGTTCAACTGGTAAGGGGATATTGTTTGGCCATCATTGCCACTTGCATGTCGAAGCCTATACTGATATTGATTGGGCAGGGTCCGTGACAGATCAACGATCTACATCAAGATATTGCACATTTGTTGGAGGTAATGTTGTTTCATAGCGAAGCAAGAAACAATCCGTAGTAGCAAGATCTAGTGCAGACGGTGAGTTCAGATTCGTGGCACATGAAATTTGTGAGTTGTTATGGATACGAATGATGTTGGGTGAGTTAGGTTATCTTGTTCGTGAGTCAATGAAATTGTATTGTGACAAAATGTTGCTATTAACATTGCCCAAAATCCAAATCAACATGACAGGACAAAGCACATTGAAGTCGATCGACACTTCATCAAGGAAAAGCTTCGTCTTGGGCTGATTTGTACTCTATACGTCTACACACAGCATTAGGTTACTGATGTTTTAACTAAGGGTGTGAAGAAGACTTACTTGCAAAATATGTTAGTTAAGCTAGGCATGAAAGATATCTTTGCACAAGCTTGAGGGGGAGTGTTGTCAGGGGCTTATTTGTTATTATTTATATAATGTTGGGGCTTATGTGTAATTTTTAAAACTTGTTAGTATAAATAGAATGTGGTGGAAGGATGAAAGTACTCTTTCATTCTATCTCTCTTTCCCCATCTCTATCTCTTTTCCTCTCATCCTCTTTCTTCTCTTTATTTTCTTCTTCTTCTTCTTCTTATTCTTATACTTTACTCTTGATTTGACTATCTCTTATGCTTCGTTTGGTTGGACGGATGGAAAAATGGATGGAAGAGATAGGGGAGGGATGGATGAGATATCCCTAGGAAAGGGATGGTTTCTTTCCCATTTTATGTTTAGTTGAATGGAATGGATAGTAGAAAAGATGAATGGAGTGATACTTTTTTCTTATTTGGTTGGAAGGAAGGGAAGGAGAGTTCTTATATTATTTTTACCAATAAACCCTTTTATATAAAATTATAAAAGGTATATATTTATTTCAAAATTTTTGAAAAGGTTAAAATTGTAAATTATAAATTTATAGGTAGTTATGCCTTCCTTTATAGGAAGGAGGGATGAAGCATCCCTCCTTATTTCCTCCCTTTCTTCCCTTCTCTCCAACCAAACACGAAAATATTTATCCATCCCTCCTCTCATCCATCCCCCCTCAATCCTTCCCTCCAACCAAACATAGCATTAAAGTCAACAGAAACCCTGTCTCAAGCCCCGAGAGCTCCCCAAAAAATGGTAGGGGACCCATTCACGAGAACGGAAAATCTGATGGAGGAAATACAAACCTAAATCCATCTCCTCCAAACTCTCTTCGACTCCTAGCCTCTAACATGATCATAAGCTTTCTCGATATCGAGCTTACACAGAACTCCAAGAACACCACTGCTCACCCTGTAATCCACACACTCGCTAGCAATGAGAGCTGAATCCACTATCTGCTGACCACCAACGAAAGCGTTTTGAGATTCTAAAATGACACCATCCAACAGCCTCCTCAATCTCAGAGCGAAGACTTTAGCAATAAACTTAGAAATGCACCACACAAGACTTATTGGTCTAAAGTCCTTGGAAGCTCCACCCTTCTTAGGAATGAGGGCAATGAAAGATGCGTTCAGCGACTTCTCAAACCGACCATGAGAATGGAACTCCTCAAAAGTGCCCATCACCTCACTCCAAACCACATCCCAGCCCTCCATCAAAAATCTCATGGTAAATTCATTCGGACCTAGGGCTTTGTCACCATTACAGCTCGTCAACGCCTTCAACACTTCCTCCTCGGTAAAAGGAATCTCAAGCTCATACCTATCCAACGCTGGAATTGAGTCAAAGTGAAGACCACCACGCCTGGGTCTCCAACCATAAGTCTCAGAGTAGAGCCTTTGATAGTAGAAAACAATCCCCTGCACACCTCCCCCTCCCTACACAATGTCACAATCCACCCCATCCACGCCAATCCGTCCAATATGGTTGCCCCTCTGGTGGGCGTTTGCAAGCCTATGAAAGAATTTCTGACACCACAAAGCCCGGGATTTCTGACGCCACGAAATCTCCTCCATAATAGCAATCTCCACCTCGCAATCTGATCTCCGAATGCACTGAAACTCCACAGTAACACCCGCCCCTTGCAACCGATCAATCTCAGCAACATTCACGAGAGCCATGTTCTTCCTCCACACCAGGTTTCCGAACACCTCCTTATTTCAGCTCGGACTTCAAAAGACGAAGCTTCCCAGCCAAAACAAAATTCTCAGTGCCTACCACAGTAGCCTCCTCCCACCAAGACCACACTCTCCCATGAAAGTACTCCACTCTAAGCCACATGTTCTCAAATCTAAACGGGGTGCTACGAGGTCTCAAGCCCTCACAATCTAGGACCAACAGGATGTGGTCAAAGGTCAGCCTAGCCAAAGCCGCCTGAACAACATCCGGAAATTTCTCCTCCCAATCCCCAAAAACCAAGAATCTGTCCAGTCAGGAGAGAGTGCGTGAACCGTGCTGCTAGACCAAGTGAAGACCGTGCCCTCCAACATTAAGTCAAAAAGACGATGGCCACTAATGAAATCCGAGAACACGGACCATCTCCCACCAGTAGATCTCTCTGATCCCTTCTGATTTAACTCTTATTAAAACCTCTTAAAGGTTGTGTCATGAATAATTATTTATACAGTTACAAACTAAGGGGGTAATCAATTATTTCAAAAACAAGATAAAAATGCCCACCAAAACACTCACAAAGACAGCCACTTGACATAACGCTAGAATGCCTTGTGTAATGCCCTCCCAGTTTTGAGCATCCACAAAGCCGGTCTATATCTATTTAATTCTTATTTGGTGACATAATAACTAGAAAACAAATAATAGTATTACAAGTAGTTTCTGTCTCTAGTCAAACAGGAAAATAGAATGTAAGCAGAAAATACCCCTAAACAGGTTCCATTCGGATCAAATATCCATGTGACAATCTTTTCTAAACCATCTTTCAGTGACGAATCAATAATTATATCAAAAGTGGGATTGGCGTGGCCTTTTACATGTTCACTATATGAGAAAGTTGATAGGGTTTAGACAAACAAAGAGAAAGTATCATTTACAGAAGCAACTGAAAACCACTAAATAACTTAGCCTGCACCAAACACAGTGGTACTAGAATCAGCTATAACCTCATCAATTTGTGATGCAATTAGCATGATCCAAAATATGGAAGTTTTGCAAACCAAAAACTCTCTTTATTGTTCCCCCATGTTTCACTTCTTTCAAGGCAAAATTAATAAATAACAACAAAAATATAATATGACATGAAGTACAAAAGTTTGGGACAAAGAGGCAAAGGCCATAAGAAATCAAGAGCACAGTGCAAATAGTAGTTAAGTAGCATTATGCCCTTACCTAGTTCATAGAAATCAACATGCTATTGAAATTCAACACAAAACTAATGCAGTTCAAAGAAAATTTTCACATATCATCTCTCATTAAACTTACTGAGAAGAAAAATAATAATAATGAAATACCTCATCCCATTCTAAGTTGTACATGGCAATCCATTTAGCTATACAAGCCTAACCACTGGTCACACCACGGTTTGTGGTAAACAATGCACCACATACCCTCTCGGGTGTGCTCACATTTCAAGTACCACAAAGATCGATTCCAGGTAACGTATATCTAAGCAGACTACTCCCAAATCTAAAGATTATGGGGTAAGAAAATTAATCAACGACGAAAAAGAAAAATATGCCACTAACATGCTTGACCAACTTAATAACCTAAAAGAGAAACACCATGAAAAAAAGTGAATATAAATTTTAAAGAGAAATTTCAGCTTGATCAGAAAATACTCCGCAGCATTAGTTTGATCTGTTTCTCTTACTCTTCATTTAAATGGTGGAAAGAGCAAGAAAATGGAGAGGAGAATGCTACAAAAATGCTGTAAAAAGGAAGCTGTTTTCTTTCCTTTCCCAGTTCTTTACTAGATCCAAGCCAAGCCTTAGATTTTGTCATTCGTATTCCTCCGAAAAAATGTAGAGAATACAATAATGTTTGTTATTCAATTAAAATGCTCAACTGGTAAAATTGCATGCTCTTGATATATGCTTGGCAAGCTTTATGATCAATGTGAATGAAAAAAGAGGGTAAATATAAGTGTTAAGAGGCTATTAGTGTAATAGTCAGGGTATTTGTGTACTTTTGCTCATCTTAATATATAAGAGAAAAGATGTGTGTAATGTAATAGTATCTAACAATAAGAAACAAAGACAAAGGCCTAAATCCACTTTAATAAATTACCTTTCTTTATTGGAATAAGAGGAATTCTTTGATCTCAAAGAATGATTTGATGGAAGTCTTAGTCCATCTAGCAGAACTTCAAGTCCTCCAATGCTTCTAAAATGATTTTGACCACGTGGATTGTCAAGTAATGCTGATCTAAGAGTTCTCAAAGTCAAATACAGAAGTGATATATCTGGCCATTGTTCTTTCATGCTCAACCTTCTTGTGACGCGCAATAGCTCTGAAACATAATCAAATTGTTTGGACAAAAGAATGAATTGAAAGACAAAACATGATATAAAAGAAGTAGTAGGATGCACTTATCAAAAAAAAAAAAAAAGTAGTAGGATGCAAAATTAACCTATATGCTATAAAAGATTAAACTTAACTTGACTCAACTCTCTTCTATGATACACCTACTCTAAGGCCAGCTGTAAAAATTTTCCCCTCGGAGTAATATCAACCATGGACATATCAGATACTTGCAATTTTATATAAGCCAAAGTTTGCGTTCCTAAATTTCATTAAGAATTTATGGTAGCCAAACAAATAAAGTTACAAAGCAAGGAAGAAATTCAGTATCATTACTTTGTTCAATCTGTCACAGGTGCACAAAACATAAGGACAGATCAGCATATTTTTTGTGCTCATGAAAGCTTCTTTACAGAGTGGGCGGAGAAACAAACTTTCCTTAAGAAAAAAAAAAAAAAAAATTTGGAACATAGAGAAAAATATGCAAATCCAACTAATGACAGTCCATTTCCAAAGCATCTGGCCCATTTTAGTCTTGGGGAGTTGAAGCATTCCATTTTTTACTCAAACATCCAACATTTTCACAACCCTTGGCCTACAAACAATAGTTGTCTTAGTCTAAGGAAATTAAAGCATTACACTTATAACTCAACCCTATCAAATTCCTCATCACTTGGCCCATGGATGACGGCTCTCTTTCTTTTTCTTTTATACCTCTTCCTTCTTCTGCCACACTATGCAATTACTCTAGTGATTTTTTTATGCACAACCATTTCTTAACAGAAACAGCAGCACAGAGGACAAAAAGGCTTCGAAAAGGAGAAAAGCATAATATCTGAAAAGAGAGCATAAAAGAGATCATCCAAAAACAAAGTATCAACAAAAATAAAATTATATATTCCAATCACGCAACACCACCAATGCAACACAATGGATTGAAAAAAACATTGGAGAAAAGACATAACAAAATATTAAAATCAGAATTTTTCTTTTATTTATAAAGATATCGATGACTTTTGAAGTAATTAAGAGAAAAGTTCCACAAATATTAAACATGAAAGTCAATATGAAGAATAATCAAGAGAAATTCTGTACATTGTGGTGAACTGTAAATTTTTTATGTTCACAACATCAAACATGAGAGAGAAATCTGTTAATTTATTAGATATCTAGTATTCTAGTGAAGGCCGTTGCCTGGTTCAGCTGTTTAATGCTTGAACATCCATGCCATTGGTACGAGTTCGAGCCTTAAAGCAGACAATTTTATTAAATATCAAAAGTTAGGCCTGTCTCAAGACCTTCCTCCCCAGGATGTTGCTGTAGTGGGACCAGAACTGGGGAATGTGCCATATCTGGTATTCTAATGTTAAAACCACTATGTACCTTTCCAATGCTACTTGCAGGGGAAATTCCAGTTTCAGCAGTTGTATAGGCTTAGATTCAAGATGAAATTGTGATTCTAAAAGGAGTGCAACAGTGCATCAGGCTTAGCAGTTAGCAGGCCCATGTCATAGTTGAATCAGACGTTATTAGTGACTGAACGGAACCCAATGAGAAAAGAACATATAGCATACATATCATATTTTAACAGTCAAACATTCTACCGTGAAGATGAAATATCTTATCCAATACACACCTCAAAACTGATGCCATGATAATCTTACCTAACAGGCACACTAATGGTCATATCCATGACTATCCCAGCCACTATACATTAAAAAATTTCTGATGTGACTAGTACAAAATTAACAAGTCAATACCAGACTAACAAAAACTGAAAATGCCTTACCTACTAACCAATTAAGGCCACCAGCCTCCATCACCGACACGACCGCTTTCAGATGCCAAGATAGCCTTGCTTCAGAAAAGGAAGCATCTGAACTAATAGAAGAATCATTTGAAGTTGTGCCACCTTTTGGAACAGAAAATTTTAAACCATTGCTGTACAAATGAGCCTTTCCATATATATTTGAACTTAAATCAGTGAAGCTGCAAATTATTGACACCACATGTAGAAGTATCTTTTGCAAAATTGCAGTCTTCTCTACAATAAAATTTGATAAACCTTCATCAGCAGAAAGAGCCCCGGTAATTGTTTTGAGTTGGATAACAGCAGCTGAAATAAACAAAATTCGTGATATAAAAATAAAAAATTTCAAATTAATAAATCTTTCAAAAATTTATTACCAAACCTTGCATTTGTGCCAGCTAATTAGGGGGAGAAGTGCAGGGATAGAAGTGCATGAAAATGAAATACAACAAGGGAAAATGTGTGCTAATACAATTTACACAACCATTCAATACAGTTACAAAGGTAAAAATTAAGCTAAACAAAGAAAAGATTGTAAAATAAACTACGGTTCCCCTAAAAGGTTTTTAAAATACATAAAAAGATGGGGTGCAGTCTGCATAAAGCAATCAATCACATTACTACGAGTAACTACACCATAGCTAAAGAAAAGGAATGACAACTTCATAAGTAATAGGTGCAGTATCTTAAATGTTAAAGTACCATTATTGTTGGGTAAAAATTAGAAACTGCCATTGTCAACATCCATGACTGAGCTCTCCTCAAAAGTACTAGTAACTTAAGTTAGCATGCTGTCATGGTGGGCGCTTGGGATCTGACCCAAAAGCTTAAGCTATTAGGTGAAGCTAACATGCTTATAATGCCCAAGACCCTCCCCACCCAGATCCGATGCGGGACAAGAACCCATGACATTCTCCCCCACCCAAACCCGCAACACCCTTCTTGCGCTTGGTCCCCCCTGCCTACCCATCCACCCTAACTGCGGGGGACCAGTAACGACCTGGACACCTCCTTGTGGGCGCATGGCGTGACACTGGATCAAGGATTGGGCCAACGCTGATACCATTTGTCATGAGCCTGACACTTGCAATCTGACCCAAAAGCTTAAGCTATTAGGTAGTGCTAAAACCCGCCCCCATACGCCCATTGCCCAAGACCCTTCCCATCTGGAATGTGGGACAAGCGTGACAATGCGCTCCACAAGAAAATTCGTAATCACTCACGGCATTTTTCCAACACCACATCCATCTACCAGCAAAGCTTTGAAACTCAGTCTGATCCGACTCATATCAGACTCGAGCAGGGTAAACACCAAGTCAAGCCGAGATCTTGGTGACACAAGGTTTCACATCCGTCTTAGCAAGACTTGACCACGATGGCCACAACATAGCCAGACTCAGCCACAAAATGGCCGCAAGAGTTCAGTTTTGCTACCCAACTATAGAAACATGCCCTTTTCCCAATTTTTCGCATCTCTGTTCATTCTCAGCCATTGAACAAACCTCAAGCACATCAAACAACTTAATTATAAGATTAGAAGAACATAAGATTAGTTGCAAATATTTGATAAAAAGCATTCCAACCTTGCAAATAATTTTTAAGATTATAGTTTTTCTGTTTTTGTTTGCTTCTTTTCCTGCTTTTCACCTAGATCTAACATATATTGTTTTTAGTAGCATCTAACATATTACTTCATAGATCTTGTTATAAATCTCCTGGTCTATCAATGTTTCAAATATTTCCTTAATTCTTTAAAGGGAAAAAGTGAAAATCTCATATCGATATATGAAGTCTGTCTTGAGAATTAAAACACTAAAAAGAAGTTTTAGCAATCAAATCCCACCACTAGGTTTTGAAGCCAACTTATTGTCTTATTCAGTAAATGAATATAATGCTAAAAGATCGTCAACTCGATCCGGTCCACTTGAATGATGACAATCTATGTGAGGCTATTATCATGACATTAAAGATTAGGATTGTCTAGTACCTAGGTTAGTGGTCTTTCGGTTGTAGTCTGGTTGGGATTTTTAATTCTTGTTTACATCAGATGTATCAAGGGAATTAATTTTTTTTTTTTTTTTGATAAGTAAGATTTTATTAAAAACGCTCAAAGGGGGAGCGAAGCCCAAAGAAACAAAAGGGCCACAGGGCGCCTTAGACCTTCAGAGAGGCCAAGAAAACAATAATTTCCTCCATAGATCTATAAAAATTTCTAATTTAAAATTTGAGTTATACTCCATTATTAAAATGGTGACACTTCTTTACAGAAGAATTTCCTTTCGGGGGGTTGAGGATAGAAGAAGAAGATTGGAACAAATACGATTGGTCCACAAAAGGTTTTTTCCTCGGCTATCAAGTTTTCACATTATATAAAGCTGTATAGTTACTATAGTAGCTAATAAGATTGGAACAAACAGAGGTTGAATTTAAAGAGGCTAACTGATTAGTGCCAAACAAGACCAGAGTGAACGGAGATTGAATTGAAGAGCTTAATTAATGAAAATTGTTTACTGTTCATCAAGTTCCTTTTCAGCAATCTTTTTTAAATAGTTCTTATTTTAGTTATTCCCATTGCTGTCCAGGAGTCACAGCAAGCCACTTTCTGGAAACAAAACAACTTATAGCTGTTAGTCCTCATCTACTCCAGTTGCTTCCATCTGCAAACCCTAAGATTTGTTTGGCCTTCACAAATTTTAAGCGATAAACAACTCCTAAATAAGTGATTATAGACAAATTCATCCCGAAAATCCAAGTGTTCTCACCACAAAATACATGTTTACATTTAATCTTTCCTTATGAATCAGAACTTAGGTGTCATAACTGCTTTGGAATTGCCAGCTAAGCAAGTAGAAGAACCTTGTCCTTTTAGCCTAAAAAATTATAGTTAATCCCTCTAGATATATAAAATAAATGTCAAATATCACACACTTTAAGTAAATCCTAGAATAATAAATAATAAAACACATGTGCTTCTAGGCATAGGCATATGAACAGCACAAATATAATACTAACTTCTGCTAGACAAGCATGCAATTTCTTGTATATGTGTATGTTGTTAGATGATTTAAATATTAAAATTATATCCTCTCTAACATCTTAAGCTTTTAGAGTAGATGGTTGTTGACATGGTAGAAGAGTAGACAAGGTCCTGATTCCAAACCTCACCTTCACCTTGATAATTAAAAATGAAATACGTTTTGGACCAAAAGAAGGCTACGCGTGAGCAGCCGTGTTAAAAATTTTAAATATTAAAGTTGCACCCTCTCTAACAGCTTAACCTTTTAGAGTAGATGGTTGTTAATATGTATATAGGTAAGGATGAATGCAGCATGAAAGAAATCCATGAGGATGTTCAAAAAAACAAGCTAATCCCCATTTATTCTATTGCAGCAGCACCTACCCCCTCCCCAACAACCAAAAACCCACGCACACAAATAAAAAGTGTAAAGATTATGTAAATATATATAAATTGAAGTATCATCAAAAAGTGAAGAACAAATAAAGGCTGTCATAAAAACCACCTTCATCTCCTACCTTCCATTACTCCCTCCCTCCCAGACAGGATACCATGCAAAACCAACAAAATGGAAAATGAAACTGAGAAAGATATCTCAACTACTCTAGCATTTATGACATATAATTTGAAAACTGACAGAAAAACAAGATCATCATAAACAGCTGTGAATTGATAAATTTAATGTCACGGGAAGTTCCATCTTCAACTCCCTAACCCAAACCCAATCACGTACAACAATGGAACTAAAGCACCATGAATAAATGTCTAAAATAAGTCAGATGGAAGTAGAAACAAATTATATGAGCAGAAAATTATAGATATACCTTTCATTAGTGCTGTAAGTTTTTGAATCCCCCCATAGTATCCAAAAACTCTGCAATTATGCATTGACCGAGTCACAATAGTCAAAGCATCCAAGACAGGTAACCCCTCTGAAGTGATAGTCAAGTTCATAGAAGTCCCTAATTGATCTGTTCTTGATTGCGCTCCGCCAGTGTTTACTAAAATTAACAGGAAGACAAAGTAGAATTAGAATACATATTTAAAGTTTTAACAACTTCCAAAAGTCAAAATCGACCAATATGGAAAACATGAATGCATTGTAAGAAAAGTGCCAAGTTTCCACATTCAACGAGTTTTAGGAGGTTATTGAATTCTTTCCTTGAGACATGAGGTGGTAATCAAGTTTCCACTGATTTGTTACACTCAAATTGAGATTTGCTAAGAGGAGCAGGGGAGTGGAAGTGGGAGGGGGTGCAATTTAGAACTTAAGAATTAAACCCAACTCCACATGCATCAATTACTATTTTAAGTATTTTATTTTGTTAACTTTTGATGAGAATTTCTGTGATATACAATTGAATCCTGTTCCGACAAATGCTAGAACAAATCAAGAATCAAGCAGAAAAGTAAACATGCCACACACAAAGAACACAAAGATTTACGTGGTTCAGCGTAAAGCCTACATCCACACTCCAGCAAAAGAATTCCCTATGCCAAAATCAAGAGGTTACAAGTTTCAGCCCCCCAAATCCTAGCTCTCTCTCTCTCTCTCTCTCTTTCTAGCAGTTTCAGTGTTCTCTCATATCCCACTCCAAACCCTAAAAGCCCTTATATACTGGGCTGCAAGAGAGTCCTAAACAGGGTCCAAGACTCGCAAGAGAAAAACTGGTCAAAGTTTTGACCAATGCCAAAACAAAATCCGGGCCACTACATCACAAATCCTTAATCATATTCCTCTATTAGATGCTACACTAACACTTTCCACTGTACTACAACAGCTTTGGCTTGAAATTCTGGAAAAAATAAATAAAAAGAAAAGTGAAAATAATTCGTTTTAACTATTCAAAGTAAAGATGCACAGAATGTAAATTTTTGCAGAAATATGATGAAAAGTAAAAAAGAAAAAGAAAAAAAATTGTGTAAAACATATAATAAACTAAAATGGAATAAAGGACCTCTACAGAACACTTTTTTTTTTATTTTTGATAAGTAAAATTCGATTAAAAAAGCGTTCAAAAGGAGAACGCATCCCTAATACAAAACACGAAGGTTGAACCTAAGGACCAATAGAGTCCAAAAGATCAACTAAATCAACAGTCGAGGAGCAATCGCTTCCTTTCACATAACAAAAAAATAGAACGAAGAATATGCATTTTCAAAGTCGCCACAAACGTTTCCTTTACTTCAAAACTTCTGCTATTTCTCTCTCCATTTACACCACCAAACACAGTGTGGGACTAACCTCCAATAGTCACGAGCGTGGCTTTTCACTGGGCATCTTCTCCATGCGTTAACCAATCCTATGGAGGATTGGGGCATTACCCAATGTATGCCAAAAATGCCGAAGATGAGGTTCCAACAATCATACACCACAGGACAGTGCATAAGAATGTGTGATCCACAGACTCGCCATCTATTTTGCATAGACCACCAATTAACAATAGTGTTGCCTCTCGTCCTCAAATTGTCCAACATCAAAATCTTGCCCCAAACGACAGTCCAAACAAAGAAAGCGACTCTAAGTGGAGCCTTAGAACGCCAAACAATCTTCCATGGGAAATCATGATTAATGAAATTGGACAAACAAAGGAACATAGACCGAACACCAAATCTACCATGGGTGGAAGGAACCCACAAAATGCACTTTTAAAAGTGAAGACCATAATACAGCAGTTGAAGAAAGCTGACCATGCATCAAATAATCCCAAACAATTCAAAGATGTTATGGAGTTGTAAGGAGTCAGTGACATGAAGGAAAAAATTTGAAAGATATGGTCAAGGAAAAAAGTTCCCAACCAGGACTTGAACCACGCACCTCCCCTTTTTGGGATGGCAAGGGATACTTTTTTATTATTATTAAGTATTGAATTAAAAGCGTTCAAAAGGAGAGCGTATCCCTCAAAAGCTTCACAAGACCAAATAAGGCCTTTAGAGCCTCAAGGAGCCCAAAGAGTCAACAAGTTCCTCCAAGGATTTACAATTTCTCCCTAGAACCCAACAAAAAAGGGTACATAGAAATATAGAATAGAGTATTTCAACGACCCAATAGGATTCTCCTTTCCTTCGAAGGATCTTCTATTTCTTTCAACGCCAAATACACCACTAGACGCACAAAGGTGTACCCCTCCTAAAGTCACGAGGTTGGGCCCCCACTATACAACCTCTCCCCAACCAAGCCTCTGGAAGACACAACAAAGTCCAGCAATCTTGAGCCACGAACAATGCAAAAGTAGATGATCAACCATTTCCTCATCATTCTAACACATGCAGCACCAATTGAATCATTAACCACAATCTGTCCTCTCCTTCTGAGGTTATCCTGAGTCAAGATCTTCCCCAAAATGGATGTCCAAGCAAAAAAAAAACCACTTTGGGAGCAGCCTTCGAGCACCAAATAGCCTTCCAAGGGAAGGGTGGCCGTGGGTCGTCCGAAAGACACCTCTAGGAAGACCTGACTTCGAAGCAACCATGTGAGGAGGGAGTCCACACCCAAAAATCATAAATGTCTTCTACAATCTCCTGACTATAAAGCAACTCCAAAAAACCAATTGCATCCTCAATCTCCCTATCCTGAAAATGTCTAGAAAAGCGCACATCCCATACCAATCTACCAAGGCATGTCTATCTATAGCAATCCGGAAAAGTCTAGGAAAAGTGACAGCAAGAGAAAGGTCACCACACCGAACATCATCCCAAAGGAGTATATTTCTTCCATCTCTAACTCGAAATCTAGTATGTTTGGAGAATTCATCCCACCCTTCCGAATAAATTTCCAAGCCCCAACGCAGCTAAGAAGTCTCACCTCCGCCGAACACCACCCTTCTCTATCCTTCCCAAATTTGCTTGCAATCACCCTTCTCCAAAGCCTATGCCTCTCCACCCCAAACCTCCATAGCCACTTCCCCAAAAGAGCCTTGTTGAAAGGCTCCTATCCTCTCATACCCAACCTCCCTTCCGAATCGAAGAATAAACTTACTCCCAGCACACAAAATGATACTTAAATTCCTCCCCCAAACCACCCCACAAAAAATTCTGTTGCAACCTCTCATTCTCTCAACCACTAAAGCATGAATCTGAAAAATGGAAAGAAAATATGTAGGAAGGCTCGACCAAGTGCTCTTCATAAGAGTGACCCTCCCCCCTTTAGAAAGGTACTGTTTCTTCCAACCAGCCAACCTCTTTTCGGATCTCTACCACAGGATCTCAACTTCCCACCCGCTTAGACGAAATCCCCAAAAGCAGCCCAAGATAAGAAATGGGAGGGGCGCCAGTGCTACATCCCAAAATCTGAGGTAAAGAGGATATGTTAGAGGGAAACCAGAACACTCTTACCCACATTTACCTTCAAGCCAGAGACGACTTGAAACCAAATCAGAACGCATCTCAGGAATCTCATCTGCGCTGCATCCGCATCACAAAAAAACGTGTCATCCGCAAACATCAAATGAGAAATCTCCATCTGACTGGCAAAATCCCTGCCCACCCTGAAACCTCTCAAAAAACCCAAGTCCACAGCCCTTCAAATCATTCTGCTAAGAGCTTCATAACCAAAAGAAATAGAAAAGGAGAAAGTGGGTCCCCCTATCTCAATCCCCTCGAACTACCAAAAAAAAAAACATCGTGGTTCCACTCACAAGGGCCGTGAAATGAGCGCTCGAGATGCGGAATTCGATCCATTTCCTCCATTCTCACCAAACCCCTTTCTTTCCAATGAATACAAAAGAAAGCTCCAACTAACATGATTGTATGCCTTCTCAATGTCCAACTTGCACAAAACATCTGGAACCGCACTCCTCATTCTAGAATCATTGCACTCTCCTGCAATGAGGACTGAATCAAGAATTTGGCGATCGCCAACAAAGGCATTTTGAGATTCCGAAATGATCCCATCCAAAATCTCTCTCAATCTCTGAGCCAAGATCTTAGCAATTAGTTTATATATGCACCCCACCAAACTAGTAGGCCTAAAGCCCTTAACATCTAAAGCGCCTCCCTTCTTTGGGATGAGAGCAATGAATGTAGCATTCAGGTTCTTCTCAAAACGCCCCTGAAAATGAATTGAACTTAAGACCACCAAGCAAAGGACACCAACTTGATGTTTCTGTGAACAACTTCTGATAAAAAGAGGCTCTCTCCCTACAAACCTCCTCCTCCTTGGAAAAACGCACCCCATCCAGCACAATCCTCCCTATGTGATTACCCCTTCTATGGGCATTCCCAAGCCGACGAAAGAATTTCGTGTTTCTATCCCCCTCCTTGAGCAACAAGAAACACCAAGTGCTTCCACAAAATGAGAACTGCTAGGAGAACGATCAATCCTATTACTTGCTAAAAAATAAGATAAGAAATGGTCACTAGTAGACGATATATTGATGGGTATGATGCACCTCTACGAATCATTATATTAGAGTTGAACACTTAAGGCTACTCTTACAGCATGTGCACAATTCAATTGAAGGGTAAGGAGAGACTTTGCTTAGAACAATTTAAACAACAGAAAATTGTGAGATTCATAAAGGCATCAAAACTTGAAAGTCGACATAACCCTGGCAGGATTAACCTCTATAGAAATCTTGGAGTCTGATAGTAGGAAGACTGAACTCAACTCACTCGATGTTGAACACAATCAAATGATATAAATATCACAAAATACAACATAATAACATATCTTCCTTCAACTCCGTCCACCCCACCCCTCAACTTGGCTCCCCCAAAAAGGAAAAAGTTCTAGGTATTGGACAAGGCCCATTGGCAAATTGCTTAAGTTGGTAATATTAGGTATCTGACAAGGTTCGCGATTCTCGTTCTAGTCACCAATAAGGCTTCTGGAGCAGAGTAAGAAGCATCTCAAAGAAGAAGACAACCTAGCAGTGGAGTGAAACTACATGGAGTAGCAAAATGGTCATCTGAAGCAAATTGTGAGAAATTTAAGGCGAAGCAGACTTTCCTGCCAACAGAATAAAATCTACTTAATCAGTACCAATGAAGACAACGATTGCAGAAACAAGAAGGTTTACTATGGTCCCAATGGGTTGTCGACGTAGTAGCACGGATACTCCCACATGGCAAATCCTAAAAAAATAGGACAAAAACACGGCATCGATACTACTGTATATAAATATAAGGCTTCATTTATAAATATATAGAAAAAGACAATTATAGAACCCCCTTTTTTCTTGTATTTCCACACTACGAGTTACATAATTTAGAAGATAAAGTAATGCAAATATTGTAAAGTTTATTAAATTATATTTGCTACTATTCTTACTTTGTCACTAAAATTATATTTTTGTCCTACTTCAGAAATGTCATTGCATGTTTGACCTTCAATGAATCAAGTATATAATGCCAAATTTTTTGAAAGAAAAAAAAATGTACAATTTGAGGTGCCCTTTCAAGATTATTAGACAAGGCTACTCTTGGATACGTTCAGACTATACAAGACTTATGTTCTAGAGCATCAAAGATGTGTCAGCCAATTGTATAGGATGTGTAGCCCAAGCGCAGAGATGTGTCAGTTTAAGTGTCCAGAATAATGAAAAAGAGTTAAAAAAAAATTCCACGTCTTTGAAAATGTTGAACACGTGTCCAGAAGTGTCCTGGGCACCTTCCTAAAAGTGTCCATGCTCACTGGGTTGTAGGGCAAAATTTGACACATTCTTCAGTCCTAGTCTTTTACCATTTTCTTTGTGCAGGCTATTATATTGTTATATAAGAATCAATAACTATTAGTGCCCTCAGTTGGAAAATCCTAGGCCCAAAAAAATCAATTTTTTAACTCTTTGTATCTCTCTGTGAAAGGAATTTTCCATCATAAATGGGTTCCAGACCCTAACAACTTCCAAGTTATTTTCTATCTTGGTTGACGTTGATCTTAGCATGACTTTGTTAAATGGAAATCACATAGTGAACGAGATAGTTAAAGATCCCGTAGATGTTGACATGACTTTGTTAAATAGATATCATATGGTAAGTGACTCAGTGAGATGGTTAAACATGTAGTCATGGCTAGCAAGTATCAACTCAAAGATACAGCAAACCATCGTTTTATTAAAGATTAATTCTAGTGGTGCACATGGTCCAGTTTGGACAGGTTCTATCATGAACCAATACCAAACTGGTACCAATGGTTCCATGAAAATTAGAACCAAACCGAAACGTATGAACCATTGGAACCAAACCAAAACCTTTTAGTTTAGTTATACGGTTTGGTGCAGTTTAGTTATACGATTCTAACCTTTAAGATAATTTGAATTATTAAATTTATCTTCTACTTTGTTCTCAACCTAATTCAACATCTGTACGTCACTGGCTCAAGTAAAATATATACTATATATATATTTTTTATATATTATTATATATATAATATATCACTGTGTTAGGTTTTAGGAAACTCATTAAATGCATATATTTCATTAACAGTTTGGTTCAGTTCGGTCCATGGGACCCCTAGCAGAAAACTGAACCATAAGTAAGATGTAAAATCCAAGAGAGGACAAACAAAATACCGAGTAAACATCAGTTCCAGATAGTTCAGCAGAAGCATAAATACTGACCACACAATTTCTAAGAAACAATCTGTTATATGGTACATATAAGATCCACTTACATTCAGTGACCAAAGCAGTTATATGTGTGACTTCTTCAACTAGAATTAGAATAATTTCAGCAGGATGTCCTGCAGAGCAGCCAATCACTAAATCATCAGAATTTTGTGAATGCTCCACAGGTGGACCAGCAGTTGAAGCAGCATCAGGAGATTGAACAGAATCAAGAGGTTCCCAGTTCTTGAATATAATTAGGAATTGCTTAAGGAAAATATGAAATAACTTTCGCTTTTCAACCTGAAATTTTAAAAAATACATGAAAATTTTGTTAGAATTAGAAGAATTATGAATGATGAAGAGTAACACAAGCACATACTCCAACCAACTACCACAGCATCTCACAATTTATTATTAATAAAAGGGATGGGAAAATGGGCATGGGCATGGGCATGGGCATGTCGGGTTTGGCAGAAAATGAAAACCATGCCCAAAATTCTCAAAGGAACTTCATTGCCTGGCCCTTGTTTATTGTGTTCTTGTGGTCAAACTACATGACCTACAATGAATCCAAGTTCAAGTTCACAATTTTATTGGCATAATATTTGTATGCCATATCAACTGATTCAGACACTAGACTTATACAGAAGAATAATTTCTTAAACATACTCCAGGATAAAAGAAATGATAAAAAAATAAAAATATAATATAATAAACGGAGTAATAAAAAGAGCCAGATCAAACTTAACAGCCTGCAAAATCCGCAACAGAGATTTAAGAGATTTACTAAAAAATTCTTATTATTTAATAGATGAAATCATCACTAGGTACCAAGATTAAATACAACCCACTTCACGATAAACATCCAAACACTTTGGATGCTTTATCCCGAAAAAAATGGGAAATCTTGGATGTTACATATGAAAGGCCAAATGATTAATTAACTATAGAGAACTCAGCCAAGTCTGAGTCCACAGTGTAATATCAAACCTTGTACTAAAAGAAAAAGGGAAACATGAATGCATGATGATGTCTCCAACCTCCAATCCTTGTGTGCCTTAAATCAACATTTAGTAATGCTATAGGAAATGATAATTTAGTGATAACAATTCAAGATCAAAGCATAACTCAATGTAATTATTTTCGATACTTAAGATCAATGATATGAAAAGACGGAGCGGAGGATGATGATATTAGTAGAATTGGAAAAGGTTGGACAAAGTGGAGGAACGCTTATGGGGTTTTATGTACTAAAATAATACTAAATAAGTTAAAAGGGAAAGTATATAGAACAGTCCATTAGACTAGATATTTTATATGGAGCAGTGTGTTGGGCATTAAAAAAGAAACACAAACAACACGTCCATGGGGGGAAATGTGATTGTTAAGATGGATGTTAGGAATAGCTAAATTGAAAGATTAATAATCAAATATCAGGGAGATGTTAAGTGTGGCGCTTATTAGTGAGAAAATAAGAGAGTAGACTTGGGTGGTATGAAGGTACCAGACAAAAGAAATCGACCAAATCTAACATGGAATTAGGTGATAAGAAATTATTTTCAAAAAGTAACTCTGGTAGGAGAAATGGCTTATGATAGAATAATCAAAAATGGCTTATGATAGAAAAGAGAACCAATGTAGCCAACCTCAGGATGACGATGACGATGACGATGACGATGACGATGACGATCTTGTGATGACATAGAAGCACCTTTGCTTTGACGCTAATCTGTTTTCGAGATTTGAGTATCTCTCTACGTATTAATTCATCTACATAGCTAACATCTTTTGTTGTTTCTAGTACACAAAAACTAGGAAAGTATAGTATAATTTAAATTTTAAAAGAAAAATAATAATAATAAAAAATAAAATAAATAAAAAATAAATAAATAAAGTTCTCTGGATTTCCCCTCCCCCAAGTAGGGGAAGAATGTTCGCCCAAACCAAAAGACAATGAAACCATAAGAAAACCACCAAAAACGATGTGTATAACGAATAAAGCCACAATAACATGTGGCAATAAAATATGCCTATTGGAAATTTAGTGCGAAGTTTTAGGAGCATTCACTCAACAAGAAAAAAACAAGAGATGAACCAACCACATGAAAAGTATTCCCAAACATACCTTATCGAAGGCATCATCATATCTTGCCCAAAGTGCATTTAGAATGGCCTCATCACCAACATTGCTGAAAAGAAAAGGAGAAGGCCAAGCAAGTATAAACATAGAGTGATCAAAAATAAGCCCATCGGCAATGGATTCAGCAAAGCTATATGTACAACCCAGAAAAGAAACTTAAATTACAAATGATAAAAACTTCTTTGATATAGCTTCAACAAGTCCAAGACCCATTAAAGAGCAAAATCGGGAGGGAAAAAAATAATTAAACAACTAATCTATGTTTTAAAGTTCCAATTCATGCAACCGTCATTTATGTGATATACAAAACCTTGCATAGTTAGATTCATGTCGACTGTGCAGAAGAGACTACCAACAATCAAATATAAGCTAGTTATGATGCAAGAGCTAAACAGCAAAACATTATTGCACAATAAACTGGACATATGTCTTCACGCCTGGCAGCCCAAACTTTAAATGTTGCACCACACTAGGAGCCCTTAATACAACATTACAAATGATTGTAAATCATATCACTAATTTGTGGTTTCCAATAATAGTAGATGTTTCATATTAAGTTCATACTATCTTCAAATTTATAATGACAATCATAAATCTAAATATGAGCCAACTTCATTATTAACCTCCTTATACAAAAGTAATACAAGCTACACAATGTCATTATTAATTTCCAACTCCACTAAATAAAGCCTTATCCTAACTAGTCTTGGCCAATTCATGAATATTACTTTGCCTTTTGCTCAATCTAGAGCCATTGCTTTGGTCCATATGTCATTATAACTTGTGTTACCACTTCAATCCATGTGAATTTTTGTCCTTCTTCATCCTAGCAGCAAGCTAGCAGCCTCAATCTAAACCATGTGGCTTTGTCCCACTACTTATTAGTTATCAATTTATTGTTGCACAAGGTCAAAAACCTTTTCTTTTCTTTTCTTTTTTCTTTTTTTTTTTTATAAGTAAAGTTGTATTAGAAAGTGTTCAAAAGGGAAACATGGCCCCCGCAAAAGCTACACAAGACCAAATAGGGTCCTAAACTCTCAGTATATCCAAAATATGAACAATTTCCCCCATTGATTTACAATTCCTCCCAGTGACCCAACAAAGAAGATAACTAATAATGGAGAATTTTAGCATCCCAAAAGGAGTCTCCACGCCTTCAAAAGATCTCCTATTTCATTCCTTCCACAGGCACCACGAAACACACAAGGGTGCCACCCTCCAAATAGGTTTCGTGTCATCTTCTCACCAATAAGAATTACACCCTACTTCTCACATATGTTCCACTTCTAATTTTGACCTTTCTTTCTCCACATATCAATCCAACATTAATCTCTCAGCTCTCTCACTCTAAGAATATGTCGTTTCTTAGCTACCCAGCTATCTATAAAACGATTCCCTTGGTCATTCAATGAAGCACATGTCAGCAAATACTTGAATTAAAACCTCAGTCAATCTTCACCACTTCCTCGGTTCTTTTTCAACTTTTGTGGCTCATATTCCATGTATCAACTGTTCATTCTTTATAAATAAAAGTATCATTAAAAAGCACCCAATGAGGGTGTACGCATGCACGTTCGAAGGATGCAAAAGTTGAACTCAACCAAAAACAGAACCAAAAATAAATAAAAAATCTATCCCAATCCAAATGAAAGATCTCTAGGTTTAATAAGGAGCTCAATGTGCTATGATTTTAAAAATAGGCCATCCAATCCATAAAAAGAAATAAAGAATATATACGTTACACCAGGTGCTCCATCACAAGCACAAAGGAATCACCTACCACACAACTCTAACTCCATGACCCAGTACCCACATGTCTATTCCGTTCCGCCAAAGAACTATTTTGTTTGAACTAATCTTATTATAATACAGCTTCACGATACAGTCATTTAAAAATGATACAGACTTTCAACATCCCAATTCAACTCTTTGAAGCCATTTTCTTTCTTAAAACTTAGAATTATATGGATGAGATGGTGTGGGTGGGTACCCCAAGAGCGGTATTTCAAGTTAGGTCTTTCTACTAGAGCCTGACGGAGGCCCCAGGCCCGACCTTCCCTTGGAAGGCGATTTGGAGAACAAAAGCCTCCTTAAAGGTGGGTTTTTTTGCTTGTTCAGCTGCCCTCAGAAGCATTCTCATTCTCGACAACCTCAGGAGGTGACAACATACAGTGGTGAACTAGTGTTGCATGTGTAAGAAGACGGAGGAATCTGGAATCTATAAACCATCTCCTTCTTCATTGCCCAGTGGCGTGGGATGTTTGGTCTATGTCCTTGGTTGCGTTTGGCATGTTTTGGGTGTCTCCCGCTTCCACGGTGGAGTTGTTAGAAGCTTGGAGAGAGTGTATAGTGGACAGCCGAGCCAGATATGCTTGGAGAGCCACTCCCCTTGTTTATGATGGGGTTTGTGGCGCGAGAGGAATAAGAGATCCTTCGATGGAAAGGAATCCCTTATTTGGTCTCTCAAATACAATATACCGCCTACTTTATTATTTTGGGTCAATGGGAGGAATTGTAAATCTTTGGGGCATCTTTTGGATTTTGTGGATAGCTTGAAATTATTGGGCTCCATTTGTATTCTTTTGGGAACGCTCCCCTCTTGAACGCCTTTTATGAAATCTTACTTATCAAAAAAAAAAAAACTTAGAAATATATAAAGGGGTTTCCCTTCTTCTTCTTAGACCTTTTCATAGGTCACTTGAGTAAGAAGACAACTTCCATTTTTAAAGTCCTCTTCATAAATCCAAACTAATTTGTTGATACTACTATTTCAAGCAATATTCTTTGCTAATCATTCTCGTTCAAAGTTTCTCAGTACAAGTGTATGACACAATAGTTTGATAACACAATAGATATTGACTTTGATCATCTTATTTACTCTTAAACGTTGCCAATACAACCATTTTATTGGTCTTCTTAACCTAATTGAACATTTCATAAATTAAGGCATGCCATCAACCACCATACACTCCCACGTCCCAATTAGAATGTCATCTACTCCTAAATCCCTTTCATCTTCATCTTTCTCATAACATCTCTGACCCTCGAAGACCCCAAATTTTTTTTTTTAACAGTATTTTTTCTTTGATCTTCATAAGGGTTGCAAAATTATTCTAAAATGAAGCCCATCCCCCCTTCTTTTTCCTTTAAAAACTTCTACAAGAAGCTCTTCCAAATCTTGTTATTTCTATCCTTCCCAAAACCCTCCTACCTTGACTCGTCTCCTTTAACATGATTAAGACCTCCATTTTCTTTTCTCACAACTTAGAGACTTGAATATGTTTTTCACCCAACATTTGACCCAATTTTGTATAAAGATCGTCAAGCTTGTTAAATTTAATCTCACTCACTATTTCCTTCAGAACTTTCGACATGTACACGCTTAATATTTCAAGACTTTCATATAACAAAAGTAACAGCTCTATATTTTGTTCCTTTCTCATATTGATGCAGAACAAAAAATAAGAATTCAGGAATTTCACATGGAATTCATTTTAGATGCTGTCTACCACAGCTTTGCAGATACGCCCAGCGTAAAACCCGCTAAACTATCAAAAAATTGTAAATCAGGGCACCAGTTGAAATGTCCGTTAACAACGATGCAAAAAATACTAAAAAAATTCATTATTACAAACCCCACACCCCCCCCCCCCCCCCCCACACACCTTATTTTCTGGGTCTGTCCCTGAATCTGCTAGTCTAATAAAATTATTCCACGTGTCTATAATTTTTTAATTGGAAAAATAAATAAATAAATAAATAAATAAGAAATATACCCACCCAAGATTTTTTTTTTTTTTTTTTGATAAGTAAAGGTAGAGGTAAACCACCCACAAATTTTCCAGTTAAGAATAACCCGTACTTTACGTTTACAACTCATTTCTTTGTGTGTGTGTCTTTCTGAAGCAAAGAAAGATGAAAAGGCATGGACTTGGAGATTGAGGTGGGGGAGGTTTATTGAGTGGGAGGCTTTAGATGCCTTGGGGGTGTCTAGGGGTATTTTGCTGATGTGGGATAGGAGATAGGTTTCAAAGACGGAGGTGCAGAGAGGGAGGTTTTCTATCTCGTGTGCTCTTTTCCATGGAGGAGGATGGGTTCTGTTGGATGTTTTCTGGTGTGTATGGCCCAGTTGAGATGGGGAGAGGCACATTTTGTGGGAGGAGTTGAGGGCAGTGAAGGATCAATGGTGTCTTCAGTGGTGTGTGTGTGGTGTTTGGGGGGGGGTGGGGGGAGAGATTTCAATGTTGTCAGATCCCCTATGGAGAGATCAACAGGAAGAAGGTGGACATCAGCCATGGAGCAGTTTTTTGAGTTCATTGATGGTTACCACCTGCATGATTTACTGCTGGAGGGAGCTAAGTTTACATGGGGGAGTGGTAGAGAGTCTCCCACTTTGTCATGATTGGATCGTTTTCTTCTCTCGGGAGATTGGGAAGAGAAGTTTCCGGACATGGTTCAGGCAGCTTTGACTAGACCGACATCTGATCATATTCCTGTGGTATTAGACTGTGCTGGATTGAGGACGAGGAGTACTCCCTTTCGCTTTGAAAATATGTGGCTACGGGCAGAGGATTTCCAGGGATGTGTGAGGTCTTGGTGGGAGGGTATCAGGGTGGATGGTAACCCGAGCTTTATTCTTGTGAAAAAGCTTAAGGGATTGAAACATGAGATTAAAAGGTGGAATAAGGAGGTGTTTGGGAACCTAGAGTGGAGGAAGAAAAGGGCCTTTGCGGAGATTGACGAGATTGATAGGCGGGAAGGTACGGGCGCATTGATGAGGGTCAGAAAAGTAGGAGGGATGCGTGCCAGAAGGAGATTGCTGAGACTGCAGTGTCGAAAGAAATCTCTTGGAGGCAGAAATCTAGAGCCTTATGGCTGCTTCTTTTTTTTTATAAGTAAGATTTTATTAAAAACGCTCAAAAGGGGAGTGAAGCCCAAAGAAACAAATGGAAACAAAAGGGCCAAAGGGCGCCTTAGACCTTCAGAGAGGCCAAGAAAACAATAATTTCCTCCATGGATCTATAATCTCTCCCTGAAACCCAACAAAAAAGAGTAGAAATAACAGAGAACTTAAGCATAGAAATAGGCTTCTTTTTTTCGTCAATCTAGAGCCTTATGGCTTAAAGAAGGCGACAAGAATAGTAAGTTTTTCCATCAACTTGCAAATGCTCATAGGAGAGGCAATCACATTGAGAGGATTACTATTGATGGGGAGGTTCTAGTTAGGGAGGAGGATGTTTGCAGGGGATTGTCTCTTTTTATCATGATTTGTTTACAGAGCCTTATTTATTGAGACCCCAACTTGATGATCTGCACTTTGATTCCATTTCTGAGATTAATAGAGATGGTTTGGAGATTCCGTTCTCTAAAGAGGAAGTGTTGAAGGCGTTAAGGAGTTGTAACGGGGACAAAGCTCCGGGGTCGGATGATTTTACTATGAGGTTTCTTTTGGAGAGTTGGGGTGTGGTAAGGGGAGAGGTGATGGCTACGTTTCATGCCTTCCATATTCAAGGGAGGTTTGAGAGTTCCTTGAATGCATCGTTCATTGCACTTGTTCCAAAGAAGGGGGGAGCTTCGGATATTAAGGACTTTAGACCTATTAGTTTGTTAGGCTGCATCTATAAATTAATAGCTAAAGTTCTAGCATTAAGGTTGAGGGTTGTTCTAGATGATATCATTTTGGAGTCTCAAAATGCCTTTATTGGTGGGCGTTAGATTCTGGATTCAGCTCTTATTGCTAGTGAATGTGTGGACACGAGGTTGAGGAGTGGTGTCCCAGGGGTTCTTTGCAAGCTTGATGTTGAGAAAGCTCATGATCATGTGAGCTAGAACGTTCTTGTTGTACTTGATGGAGATAATGGGTTCTGTGGATAAATGGAGGACTTGGATTGAGGCCTGCATATATTCAGCCAAATTTTCGGTGATGTTTAATGGGTCTCCGACTGGTTTTTTTGGTAGCTCGCAAGGTTTGCGCCAGGGGGATCCATTGTCTCTTGTCCTGTTCATCATTGTTATGGAGGCTCTTAGTAGGTTGATGGGGAGGGTGGTGAAGTTGGGTTTTATCAAGGGGTTCATGGTGGGTGGGGATGATGCTCATCATATGGAGATATCTCACTTATTGTTTGCGGACGACACTTTGGTGTTTTGTGAGGCTGAGGTGTCCCAGATGAGGTACCCGAGATCAGTGTTGACTTGTTTTCAGGCGGTTTCAGGCTTGAAAGTAAATGTAGGGAAGAGTGCCTTGATTCCCGTGGGGGAGGTGCAGAATATTGGTGAGTTAGCTTCTGATTACGTACTTGGGGCTACCTTTGGGAGTTTCTTCGAGGACTGTGGGTGTTTGGGAACCGGTGGTTAAGAGGGTTCAAAGGAGACTTGCAGGGTGGAAGAAGCAGTACTTATCGAAAGGTGGGAAGGTCACTCTTTTGACAAGCATGCTCTCAAGCCTCCCTACTTATTTTATCCCTCTTCCAGATTCCATCCGTGGTTGCTATTTCGATTGAGAGGCTTCAGAGGAACTTTCTATGGGGTGGCTTACAAGGAAAATTTAAGTATCACCTTGTCCGATGGGACCAGGTTTGTAGGCCGATTCATGCTGGAGGCCTAGGGATAAGGAGGTTGGTGCCATTTAAAAGGGCCCTCCTTGATTAGGAAATGATGGAATGAGTTCTCCAAACACATTAGATTCAGGGTTCAGGATGGTAGGGACGTGCGGTTTTGGGAGGATCTTTGGTGTGGTGATTGTACCTTTGCTTGTTCATTTCCCAAACTGTTTAGGATTGTTGTTGATAGGCATGCCTCGGTTGCTGACTGCTATCAGCTTGATAGCAGGAGGTTGACTTGGGATGTGCGGTTTGTGAGAGCTTTTCAGGATTGGGAGTTGGACAACATTTGTGGGTTGTTAGATCGTTTGTATCGGCATGAGACTCGTGGCAGAGATAGAGATTAGCTTGTTTGGGTGCCTGCTTCTCGGGGAAAGTTTGAAGTGAGATCATTTTTCTGATGCCTCTCAGATACTACAGGGATTACGTTTCCGTGGAAAACAGTGTGTAGATCTAAGGTGCCACTCAAAGTGGCGTTCTTTAGTTGGACAATGGTGTGGGACAAGATCTTGACGCTCGACAATTTGCTGAGGCGAAAACAAATCACAGTTAACTGGTGTTGTATGTGTAAGTGCAATAGAGAATCGGTGGATCATCTTCTTTTGCATTGTCCAGTGGCTTTGGACTGTTGGTGCCTTTTATTAGGAATGTTTGGGGTTTCGTGGGTAATGCCTAGATCTGCAAGAGGATTGATGGAGGCTTGGAGAGGGTGCTATGTGGGAGGTCATGCTCGTGGGTTTTGGAGGATGGCGCCCTTGTGTTTATGGTGGTGGAGGGAGCGGAATAATAGATCCTTTAAAGGAAAGGAATCCTCGATTGTTGTTCTTAAGTCAGCCTTTATTAAATCTTTATGTTTTTGATTCTGGGACGTGTTTCCCTTTTGAACCCTTTTTGAATGAATTTGCTTAATTATCAAAAAAAAAAAAAAAATGTTGTGAAAGAGGAATATAGAAATGAAGATTTTTGTGAACTATGGCGGTAGGCTATGTTGTAGGCGGAGACATTGCTGATTTTGAGGAGGGTGGAGAAAGGGATTCAAAGACTATGGTGGCCCCAGTGGATTCCTATTGATTGTGACAGACCTTGGGTGTGGAATGATTTGTATTGCGATCAGTAACTCTCTCTCTCTCTCGACGAAAAAATTTGAATTTTTCTCTTCCGAAATGAAAGAGGTTAGCCATCGTGGTTGTGATTAGCTTTTGTTCTTATAGATTCACACAATGAGCATTGTTGTCTTCTTCCATTAAAATCCTAATTTTTCATTGCATCTTGAACACATTCTTTTAAGATAAACCCACAAACAGATTGTAGCCTAATAGATTAGTTGGGTTTGCAAAACTAATGGATAGACCCCCTCAATGGGTGCGCATTATATTTTCATTTTTATATGACAGTTGCATTGGTAAACATATGATGAGTATCATGGAACAAACTGCTGTAAGCCAACAATTATTACAATTATAACACATTCTAATCAATCAATTTCAACAATTCCAATTTAGTCAGGGATGACAGTACAAAAACACAACACGATTGGAGACTACTCATTCTCAAGTGCAGTCGTTGAGAAACAGCATACAAGTGACAAGATCAACTAGATAAAGATTATTCTTTAAAAACCTGAATTCTAGTCAGCAGCAGTAGAGAGAGGGGGCAGAGAAATATTGATTCTGATAGGAAGATAAAGTGCATTAAATTTCAATTGGGTTTTCTTTGTTTAGATGATTTGAGTGTCGGGACGAGAATTGCTTAAATAATGGGTTATTTACCAGTTCAAATCTGGTCCAATTGTATGATGGCCAATAGAACGATATAATAGTCTTCACAACTATCTTTTGCTTTGTTCAGCAATTACCATATATATTTTCCAATCAATAGTTTAAGCTTGAACATTAAAGGTTCTTAAGATATCATAAGTTTCAAAATGCAAGGCATAACCAAAAATGGCAATCAGAAAGCATATGTACCTGAAGCGGATTCTAGGAGCAGGAGCAGAGAACCTCTCCGACCGTGATCCTAAACCAGAATCTACATTGTTGGTAGTGGATGTCCTCCGAATGAGGTCAGCGACACCCTTTACAATGTTCATGATTCCACGCTGACTTATAAAACATTCAAGGCTACAGAAGTGAACAATCGATGCATGAAATATAATTCCAGCTCATCACTCCAGCCGAACTCAATCTTCTATTTCCATATGTAAAACCACTGTGAAGTTGCCATTAGTGCCCACACTTCAAAATAGCAGACACCATTCAAACAAACCAAATGTTTTACAGCTATATAGTGTATAAATTGAAGCTCAAAATAATAACAGCAGATATTTTTTTGGGGGGGAAAATACATTTCAGTAAGTGCAGATCACTGACCCGTAAAATTTGTCTAAAACCTATATGTATACTTATTCACACAAATTTCACGAAACAATATGAAACTTGTTCCGAAGATTCGAACTCGTAAGGAAAACGTATATGAATTTAGTAGGATTGATTTTAATATATATATACACACACTACAAGTTCTCGTATTAGTTTGAAAATGATGAATTGATAAAACTCGTCGGAGGTTAATTATTAGAAGTTCTTTTGAATTAATTGAAATGAAAAAATTCGAGTGCCACAGGAGTGATTCGTACCTGATCGGATCCAAATGTCTGATCGCACAATTCGATTTCTAGGGTTTAGCGACGCAGGATCTGAAACTCGGATTCTCCTCCAACTTTTGAAGCTCTAATGGCGTAAGATCAGTATAGAGAGAGAGGGGAAAATCGTCGCAGGAGAATATTTTTGTATTGCAAGGGAGACCTCCGAAATTCGTATAATATCCAGAACCACCCGCGAGGACTATATGGCGTCGGTGACTCGAAAGCTTTTCTAGGTATATTGCAGCCTGTTACGGCGTCGTATCACAGACGTAAATGTATATCGTTTACTGTTTATCTTGTCTCAGTGTCTCTCACCCTAAGTTCGGGGAAAGAGAATATATATCTATATATATATATTTTATGGATTATATATATACACACACATATAGAGAGAGATCTAGAGAGAGAAAGTGATAGGTTAAGACTTCGAGAAGGGTTCGGTGCCGTCAGATTGGTTTGGTTTGCGAGTGCTGGAGCAGTACCAATTGCACGAGCGGCAAGATTGGTTACCGGCTTAGTTTGTTTGCCAAATAGTTTCATAATGGTCATAGTCATACTTCAATAAGAAATTTAAACTCTATAATCATTTAAAAAAATAAGAATCATTGATATTGATCGGGGAAATTAAATATTGGTGGCCAAACGTAAAAAAGGTGATTTTAAAGTCAAAAAAAGATGGTTAGTGATTTATTTTTAAAACTTTAATTGTTAATAAGTGATCATTTGAAGATAATTTGGTCAAAAAATACTTCCTTGTTTATAAAAATTTTTAAAAATAAATTTTAAATGACAAAATTGTGGATTCATTCTCCTCTCTCTTTCTTGTTCTATTTTTCCCTTTTTAGTTTGTAAATTACCAATTAAAAAATTCGAATTTCTTTAATAACTTTTTATATAATATGTATATATCTTAAATTTAGAATTTCTTTATTAACTTTTTTTTTCTCCGCCATGATCGAACAACATGCTAAACACGGAACTAAGAATATTATATCCATAGTTATAATTTATATTGATTTATATACTTTCAAGTTTGATGGAATTATATATATATACATCTAAAAATCACAACACCATTCAAATACACCTCCATTCCCTTCCCTCTTCATCTTATCCTCTAATTGTCAGACAACAAAAGTTTAATGTTGAGAATAAATTTGTTCAATTAAAAATATATATATATATTACAATAAGGATATTTATGTAATAAACTATCAAATGGTCATTTATTAGTAATTAAGTTTCAAAATTGGTTACTATTTCTCTTTTCTCGACTTTAAGGTCACTTTACAGCAATTTTGTGTTGGTTTGGTCACAAAATTATAATTTTCCCTTGATTTAAAGGCGGAGCAGTGGCTTTATTTGTCAAAATAAATGCTCTATTTGTCCAAGTAAATTAATTATGGTACTATCTTAGGTGTGATTTTATGTCTAAAATGAGATCCCACTCATCATTGATCTAATTAATTCACTTTCACAAATAATAATGATATATAAGCACCTCTAACTCCTTTTGGCGATCCACTCTTCAATTTTTCTAAAACAAAAGTATAAAAAATTCCCAAATTCACCCAAAATATTTGTAATGTCTTGTTCGTTCCTCTATGTTAACCTAAAATTCTTCCATTTTCTTTACCACACGCTCTATCTTCTCCTTCTTGACCGAACAACGCCTGAATCCCTCTCTCATCAACACTCTTTCACATTCATTGCATCATCAAACTTTCTCTTCAAATATATTTTATTTTTTCTTCTACTTCAAAATGTTAAGCTTACCAATTCACCAATGTTACATCTCTGTCACTCTTGAGGTTGATAATTCATACTTATTGATTGCATGTGTAACATTACTCTTTGATGATGATGTGTGCTTGTAGCCATGTCTCTCTTATGCAATGCAATACCCCCATTAATTGAAGTCGTTTGTATAGTAACATGAGCTTAGCAGTAATATCCACGCCCTAAGTCCCTCTCTCTTTTGATTATATTACACTTAGCTTGCACCATTTTAAGTGTAAATATATTTAGTTCAATTCTAAATTAACCAATTCAAACATATCACCATTGTCACAATAATATGCTCACTAATGTTGAATTTAATTCAAGATAGTCCTTGTGTTCGACCCATACTCACATTACTCTACGTAGTTGTAGTATGATACTTAAACTTGCGATTGTTTTCCGCTACCCTCTATCACATTGCTAAATATATCTCAAAGTGTTAGGTTTTATAAATATTAAAAGTTTGTGAAGCGATCAAATTTTTGGCGCTGTTGTTGGGGACTACGATTTAATTGAATTGAATTTAAGATTGGTGTGTACTTGATTGCTAGTGTTTAGGATTCCGTACATCTCATTTTCTCATATTGTTCATTTCCATGTGCAATTAGGTACTTGAGCAAGGGAGAAGCACACTTTGGACTTGTCACACATAAGTTTAGGACCTTTTGTGAGCGTATCTCTACCAACTTAGTTGTTTCATAACCCTTGTTGAGGCTATCTTTGTTTAATTTCTTGTTCAAGCATTGGTCCTTGTCGTGGCTATTTTAATTTTGCATTATGATATTGTTGAATTGAGGAGAACGGGATTATCGTATATGGATGTTTTGGTGCTGAAGTTGTTGGAATTATTATGATAATAAGTTTTGTCGTGGTGTATGCTTGGTAGAAGATCTCTTAATAATCCACTTGTTCCTATCGACTTCGAAATCGAATATACTCTTAGGGAATTTAAAAGACATGACAAGAAGCCTCCCTTCTTTAGCAATCACTCATTTAATCAAATGGCAAATAATGACATTCCTCAACCTCATGCCAAACCACCTCATCACGAACCGCACCCATTACATAATCCTCCAATAGTCTTGAGAGACCATTACACTCCAAATACATAAAATTTTCCACTTTGTTATCAATTGTCCAATTTTTTCTCAAATCATTATAAAATCAAGCCTGCAATCATCAGAATGCTACCTCTCTTTTACGGCCTTCCACATAAGGATCCTTATAAGCATTTGGATGAATTATTGGAAGTGTGCTCTACCGTCAAAATCACCAGTTTACTGGATGAAGCTTTAAAAATAAAACTTTTTCCCTTTTTCTTTTAAGGAAAAAACTAAACATTGGTTTAATACTCTAGGGCAAAATACCATCACTTCTTGTACTCACATGCAATAAGAGTTTCTTAAGAAACATTTCCCTGTAAGTAAGACAACCACATGAGAACGGTTATCATGGGATTTGCTCAAAGTGATGGGGAACAATTTCATAAGGCATGGGAAATATTGAATGATTTATTAAGGAAATGTCCTCATCATGAACTTTCAAAATGATAACTTATTCAATGCTTTTACGAGAGTTTATCCGACAAAAATAGGCAAATGGTAGATGCTTCATGTGGAGGTACGGTGTTGCTTAAACATGAAGATGAAATTTGGACACTCTTTGAAAATTTAAGTGAGAATTCAATGCACCGTGCTTCTTCTGTTTGGTCGGGCTGGATGCCTTCATTTGGGGGAAAGAAATCTAAAAATCTTTATCAAACTGATAACTCTTTGAAGGTTGCCACTTAAGTTAAAACTCTTACTCAAAGGTTTGACCAATTTTTGTTAAGCCAATCTCCGGCACTTCCATCATCCTCTACTAATTCAAATTCAACTGAAGCTTGCATGGTTTGCTCTAATCCTTATCATATTACTCGAGAATGTCCCAATAGACAACCAATCCCACATGAACCTCAAGAGCTCAATGTCACATTTTCTCGCCCGGGCAATAATTCATACTCAAACACCTATAATCCCAGGTGACGAGATCATCCAAATTTCTTATGAAGAAATCAAAAGGCAATTGCGAATCCTTCTCAAGGAAAATATATGCCCCCTTTTCGACAAAATTCTCAATCTCAATCATAACATCCACCTCAATTTTCTAATCATCAAAATTTCAGTCACTTTTCTTCAAATTCATATCATCAAACTCTCGTTTTCAATCCATTTTCATCTCAAGCACCTCAAAGGAATGCCGCTTTTGAGGACAAGGTGTTGGCCGCTTTGGGTAATCTCGAGGCAAATACACAATTGCTTTATTCGCATTCACAATCCATTGCAAAGCTTGAATCCCAAGTTAAGCAAATTGCAAATACATTGAGTGCAAATGATAAAGGGAAACTTCCGAGTTAACCCAAGCCAAACCCAAAATCTCATTACATAAGGGAAGCCAATCCCTCATCGAGACCTTCCCACCATGAACAAGTGCACGCCATCACTACCTTGAGAAGTGGAAGAGCCATTGATAATAAAGTCCAAGAGAAACTAAGTGAAGAGAGTGACTCGGTGAAATCAGATGATTGTCCATTCCCCACTCCCCAATTAATTTTACTCCATCTAAAAAGAGTGAGCATGATAGGAATGGAAGTCCATAATCATCTTTTCCCCGTCCGTTAGAGAAACCATATGAGCCCAAGGCTCCGTTTCCTCAAGCTTTAAAAGATACGTCCCCTTTTAGGAGACAACAAGGAAAAATTGATGACATAAAGGAAGTCTTCAAACAAGTCAAAATAAATCTTCCTCTTCTTAATTGTGATACCCCTCGGATCCGAGACACGGGTTGATCAGGCCTAGGCCCAAACCCGATGGATATCAAACAATTAATATGTTAAAATGAACACGGAATACAAAGTGATTAAAGAAATAATATAATGAGCGGAAAGAAACTAAAATAAATCCTCAAATATAAATATTTAAATCTTGACAATCCAAACTCCACAAGTTTACAACTTGGGAATCCATCTCTAGTGGACTCCTAATAAAATCCCAAAATGCATGGAAGTAAAACTGAAGATAAAATCCAAATCTAATATCTGGAAAGAAGTCCTACGTTATCGGTAGAATAGAAGTCTGTATCTGCTCTGCACGAACAAACTTTAACCCTGGAACTGATGAGTACCTGAAAAATATAAGGGTGGGTCAGGCCCACATGCAAGTCCTGATCTACTACAAACTAACAGGAATCCGATACGCAGATACATACTAGAAAGACTCAACAATATCTAGAGTAGTCCATATATGTATAAGTACACACTATAGGACGCTCACTAGTCCAAAAAGATCTGTCTCAGCCTGAATAGAGATACCATGCAAATCGCACATACTGTGGTCATGTGTATCTAGACCTACCAGGGAACAACACCTCTGTCTAGCTATCCATCCTAGGCAATATACGCACCCTAACCATGGTCCTGAGACTCAAGCTCATACCATGGCACATATA